ATTTTTGCGAGCACGCCAAATAATATTAAAACTGCATTTTGATGGCAAAACTGTTAGGGAAATAGCAGAGCTGGTCGGAAGAAGCAAATATACCGTCCATGATATCATAAAAAGTTTCGGGAAGATGGAAGATTAATTAACAAAAGCCAGGAGGGAACAAGTAAGAAAGCTCTAGTCTAGAGTGCCCGACTACGAGATCCCCTGAACCCTTCGAGTAATAGCTGTTTCAATCATTTTTCGCGTCTTTCTGCTTACACAAGACACACACACGCACACACACCCACACACACACACGCATACACATACAGGCATATACACACACACACAGAGAGATACGCACGCACGCATAACTACGCATTGGCTGCAGTTGTGGCTTACTAAGGGAACTTACTTGTTCAATATCTTTTCTTGTGGATGTAGTTTCTTCATGAAACTTTCAGATTGTGATTATATCATAGATATGTATGTATTTGCCAAAGCACAAGTCTCTAGAATTTGAAATACGCCTTTTACAAATGTGAGGATGAGGGGGTGAATTAGAGGTGGTGGGTGAATTTTGACAAAAACCGAAATTGTATAAAATGCATATAAGTATACATGACAAATTTGGAGACTCTAGCTTTAAACATGTAGGAGATATAAAGTTATTACTGGTTTTCGGTAATGTTTTTAATCGATAACAAAATAACGGGGCAATTTATCGATATTTAAACCAAAACTCAATATGCGCGTGCTATACACGGACCTAGAAAAAAATTTCAAGTCTCTAGCTCTTGTATCTTCTGAGATCGACACGTTTAAACATACGGACAGACGGACAGGGCTAAATCAACTCAGCTCGTCGCCCTGATCAAGAATATATATACTTTAGCCCAATATTAGCCCTAAGAACAAGGCGTTTAGGGTAAAATTCGCAAAAGAGTACTTGCTAACAAGTAAGAAAACTCTAGTCGAGAGTGCTCGACTAGATACTACCCTGAACCCAACAAATAAAAATGCCCATTTAGTATGGCTGAAATTTCAATTTCGATGTATTTAAAAATATAAATAAAATACCAAACTCATTTAATAAAATATAAAA